GCCGTGCAGCGCTTCAAGAGCTGACCTGCGTCTGACCTCAAAGTGCACAAGCGACCAACGTCAGCGTTGGCTGCCATTTTGAAGCTGAAATCGCGTTCGGTGTGAACGCAGCATTAGTGTGAGGTCTTTGTCTGAATGCCTGTGATTCAGCTGTAGGTCAGCAGGGGGCGAACTCAGGCATTGAGGATTCTGTATAAATACTGATTCATTTCCTGGTTATAGGCAGTGAGGTTTATTTGTCACCCGGTGACAAATAAACCTCACTCAGCTCCAGAGTTCTGGGTTGTATGACATTTATTTCCTATCACAGATCATCTTATTTAACACTTGTGTTTTCATCCGATTTCAGCCAATATTAAACACGTATTTCTTACAATATCATAATTAAATCCATATATATGACTTAATTTGTCTTGTTGGTTACAATAATACATAAATATTTGGTCTGAATCCTAATTTTATGTCATTTTAATGACGAAATTTTGATGTCCTTATAAAGAGGAAACCTCAAATATTTGAATATTGAGATTTCCCAGCTAAAAAGAAATAAAACTTTTCTATCTCACAGGGAAAATTTCACATTTTTAAGGCGTTTTTCCTCAAAATCAGGTTTTTGTTGCTACTGCTCAAAAAAGTGCTTCAAAATTTTGTTTTATGATTATATTTCAGACAGTTCATTCAAGTAATATATTTATAAGGCATTTATTCATTACATTTTGACAAAATGCAATTTTTATTAACATTTTAGTCAAAACACTATATTTGCCTATTTCTCCATGCACCAATTTTGGACTTAATCCTCGTTTTGATGTGATGGGTCACATTTCTCTGAGTAGCAACTGTAAAGGAAAGTGAGGTAATGCATCAACAGGCTTAAAGGTTTGGGAAATTACTGAAAAAAATGAAATAATAAATGATAGACTTGTCTCTCAGGAAGCCGGTGTGGTCAGAAATGAAGAAATAAAGAAAGATAAAAATCATCTGAGTCTCAATCAATTAACACTCATACCTTCTACATGTCTTGGTATGTTTTATCTAAGAAATGAGGCAGCATGGGGTCTTAAAGTTAACATGAAATCTAAAATTCTGTTTACGTTTTCCTCTTGTTAGAAATCATAGAGTCCTGGTTACCATTCAGCATTTTGGCACATCCTGTAGTGATACAGGTAAACCCAGACAGGTATATGCACAGATATGTTGATAACTTTCCACATTGACCAAAAAAAAAAAAAAAGATGTGACTAAAGCCAAAAAGCTTCAGTTTTGTCTCATCAGTCCTAGAAACCTTTACTATAGATTTTGGGATCCTGAATACCACCGGGTACTTGTACCACAGTTTAGGAACCATGACTGCAGAGATTTTCCTTTATTTACATTTCATATGAAGTTCCAAACTTTTGGTCTTTTAGCTTTTTGTTTTATTGGTTTTCTCATTAATTTTATTAGTAATAACTGTGTGAACCATGGTGTCCAGATCAAATCCATTTTAGCTCAAAGCCAAATATTTGCCAAAAAAAGGCTATTTGTCATTTTCCTGCTTCTAACACAATTTCTATGTCATTRAATGGTTTTTTGGAGTGTAATGAAACTCAAACCAGTGTGAAGACTGGTCTCGAGTTTTGGACTTGACTGTATTTGTACTCGGTCTCAGACATTGAGGAACTTGTGATTTTATTTCAAGACCAGTCAAGACTACAAATGTGAAAAACTGCCAGAGTGTTGTGCAATTTATTTGTTAAGCTTTAGCTGCT